GGGGGGGGGGGGGGCGTCATGAAACATGACAAAACTAGTCCACGGCATCTTCCTTCTGAATCCTTGCCTGTATCACAACCATTCTGCTCTGGTGTAATTCGGTGTTGCCATGTCGAATGTTTACGGCCTTCTAATAACCGAATTTAGAACAGTTGCACGAGGGGAAACTGTAAATGCTCGTAGAAATTTTGAAAGAATTGCGATGATTGGCCAGTCAGGTTTACAACCACGAAAGAAGAAACTCTATTAAGGACGAATAAATCAGCGCGTTCGCCGGTTTAATCCCCTCTTTTTCTCCCCGTGCGTCGGGCGACGTTTCCCACATTTTGTTTGAACGAGTCCGTCTTCGCCTTCTCTGGCTGTGCGCTGTGGCGGGTCACTGCACTTCAGGCGCAGCGCAGGTGGGGGAACGGGTGGTGTAGTGCGTGGAGGCAGCTTTACCCTGCGTTCCCGTTGCCCCCAGCGACAGGACAGCCTCAAGACGGAAATGGCTTTGTACCAGCCGTCCTAAAAGTATCGTGGTTTTCCTCGACAGCCGTCTTGTTCCTTGCCGCAGTTGACATGAGTGGGTTTCTGATCCGTGCCGGACCGAATGGAGAACGTCGAATGAACAGGCCAGTTCGCTTCTGCCGCGTTTATGAGTGTGGAACTTGGTACTTTTCTGTCCTCTTGAGAAGAAAGAAGATATAGTTTTGTAGGCGTCATTTGGACAGAAGAGAGGCGCAAAATGTTAGTTGAGAATCCTAGAGGCAGAGATAAGGCCCAGATTCGAGGATATTATTAAAATATACGTCGGGGAAGTCGACTGGTTTCGTTTGATTGCGGGCAGAGGGACGGGCTGTTGTGAACGCGGTGGGTCTTGTGCGTGTTCTCCGCAAAGTCGGGAATTTATCGGTTAGCTGAGCGACCATGAAGGCTGTGGACATCGTCGTCATCATCTGGACTGGACTCGTTTGTGGTCCGCAGATGCAAGAGGCCATGGGAGGAGAAAGTGGCTTTGTCCATATTCAGGCAGCTACTGAAGTAATGTTGGGTCACTGGGCCACTCAGAGTGACGTCATCGAAGTAACAAGCTTTCTGATGTTTGTTATTTCGCAACTTTTAAAATTGAAGGCCCCCCCCCCCGCGCGCCAGACCACTGAGGAGGACGCCCGCCGTCTATTTTCGTCGCACGCGAACACGCAGTATACAGTCCACGGACCTCCAGGTTACGTCACACTGTGACGTCATGTCATTTAAAACGCAGCAGCTGTCGTAGTTTTTGAGTAGCCACGAAGTAAGGGGCGAGTGCCCACCCAATTTGCCCGAATTTAAAGATATTTTGATCGCATCAGTGACCCAGTTGTTAATTCTGCGGTCCAGAACCTTTTGTGGGTCAGTGCTCGTGGCCTCGGTTCGTTCTCAGAATGAAACTCCCTTCAGATCTTTTGAAATTAATTTAAACCTAAGAGGGGTGAAGTTGGCCGGGGGGGGGAGGAACTGCGTAATTTTGCACTTTTCATGAAATCGACGAGGATGGGATGCATGAGACGAAAATTGAGTACGAAATTTTTGGTTTGAGGTCACACCTCTGGCTACCCGGGCGTTCGTGGGCGGATAATATAAAATGTCGAGATATTCTTTACAGGGACGATAATATTAAGATGGATCGAACGTTAGTGGAGTTCCCAACCTTAAATCACATATTTGACAAAGTAAACAGTTTGTAAAAGTCATTGTGCTTTTACCTTGCTTTAGAGATTGTAGATTCGTAATTGTAATTTTTGCTGAGGGTAGTAAAACTCAGAAATGTATACTTTAACCTAAAATTACCATTAGGCATTAACCATAAACAAAATTTTCACATTAAAACAGCTGAGCAACCGTAAATGTGCTATACTCTTGTCATGAAGTGTACGCGTATTATAACATAACCTTGAAAAGAATGCAAAGAAACAAAATGATCAGGTTTAAACATTTCTGTGACACACAGCAGTTGCGTGCGTGTGCGCATGTGTGTGTGTGTGGGGGGGGGGGGGGGGGGGTGCATCTGGGGTCGAACCAGCAGGTTGTTACCTGAGACGTACTGAATGACAGAGTAAAATCACGACAACGCCAAACGAGCTTCTCTGTCCTTTGAAGGCGGGGCGCTCTGCGATCGTCGCTTGTTTCCATGACCTACTCTATCAGCGTACGCTGTCCGTGTCGAGACGTCAAACGTGTGTTCAGAGTAGAGCACGATGGGAAATTGTCTTTGTTTTGTATTGTACTGGGAGTAGGGAAAATTTAATTCTGGATCGCATCGTCCATTTTAAGCCCTACTCCTTATGAAACTAAGCTCGACCTTTATTGAATATTAATCCCACTCACCTACGACTCATCCTCACACATCTTTTTTTAGTTTTTACGCATGCGCTCAGTGTCTCGGGCCATTCTGCAATGCAGTTTCGCACCATACGTTGCCTAACGCTGACGGAGGTCTGTGCCCCATTTACCTTGGCCCCTTTGTCCATGCAGTGAACAAGAACTCAAGTGATTAGAAAGTCCCCTGTTCAAATATCGATTGGTTCCTCTACTAATCGATTCGTCATTCATTTGCACATCGGACGCAATTGCTGTAAATTAAATGAATTACGTCGACTCCCACACCGTTCCTTGTTAATTATCGAAGGTCAGAGCGAGGGCACGTTCGGTAGTTTTACCGCCGCGGCAGAGAACCCGCTCCCTTAAAGTCGCACTTCCGATTAGCATGTTACATCAGTTGCTTCAAGCAAAACTTAAATTCTCAAATTCTGTTTGTCTGAAAGTGAATTATCAATTGGCCCAAAGCGCAGACTGTTCCATTGTTGAACAATATTACTGCGTAGTGTAACTTACATCGTATTCGTGAACATGAATAATAACCTTTGATTCTTTTCCAAACTTTCAACACCTGACGATCGCGAGGCGTCTCATTGTCGTGGGTGTGCGTTCAGTGCCACAGCCTGTACGAATTTCGATCACAAGCCACCATCTCCCACTTACCGTACGCAAATTGGCGTGACGTCACAGCCTCTTCTCACATTGAGGCCGTCGAAGGGTTGAAAAGTATTTGTGTGGGCGGTAAATTTAACAGATTAGCGAAAGTTTCAGCGCGTCGTAAATATTGCAAATACAAAAGTTCCTCTTGGAAAGACAACCAGAAAAATATGATTATTATTAGGCACAAGGATTTCCAAAAAGATCGTGAAAGACAATATTACTTTCCCGCGTTATGAAGACGTTTATTTGAGATGTCTGAAGATTACGTAACATCGCGTCGTAGATAAAAGAAGACGTACGATTCGTTCAGAGCGCAAGATGGCTTCTGACGCTTTACGGTGCTTGTTAGCAGTATTGGAAATGCAGTCGGCGTTGAGTGACCAATGCGTAACCTGCCCCAGATTACTACAGATCTGCGGCGTAGCCAGCTGAGACTAGCGGGCGATTCACATATTTTACAGGAGCGGAGAATTCTTGGACCGGGCAGGGGTGAAGTAACGACGGAATGGAGACAATTACACAATTCGTACTCGTCATCTGATTTGTTGCATGAAGCACACGGGTAAACACGATATGCACGAAGCGTTCTGATGCAGGAACCTCTTATGAACTGGCCAATGGGAGACGAAGAATGATCACGTGTCCGAGAAACATGGCGACTGTGACGTCACGTGACCTCCGCGTTATCGCAAACCGGCGACAGGTCGATTCGCGGCGATAATTGCCTTGCACAGCAAATACCATTGCGTAATTTAGGTCACCACAATGGGACAAGCCAATGGATGTCTTAGCAGAGTACCGGCGAAAATCATTTCGCCCCCTAATGAAAAAGTTTACTTCAGTTTGCAAGATTTGTCGCGACTCGTCTCGCTCCCAACAACAAAACTGTGGGGCTTCAAACAAGCAAAATAAAAAACCAACTGAGCGCTTCCAAATTTACAACCGGCGCGGCTCTTGCCAAGGGCAGGGGTATCCAGTCTACGAGTGCTTGCTGTCACTTTCCGGTTATTCGCTTCTGTCTGTCCTCGAGAGCAGATGTCTGTTTTTTTTACCCATAAAACAGGGATCAACCAGAGTTGTACAAAGTGAAGACAATGGCATCTTCCATACTTTAATATTACATTTTGTCCTTGATGCAATGAAAAAATGTCCGTAACATGACTTTACTTTTTTTTTAAAAAATAAAGATTACTGCTAAGAAACGCTGACTGGGAGGGGCCCTGTATGTATTTGGCCTCAAGGTGATGCATCCTGCTGTGCAGCACACATAAGCCAACACAAAATGTTACCCCAACATGACTCTGACTTTCATTATCAATTCTAATGTCTCTGTGTTGCAATTCTCAACCTGCTTTTAGAGGCTTCCAAGGATATACAAGGTAAAATGACGAGAGGCAGACATA